CCTCCCTCCCTCCCTCCCTCCCTCCCTCCCTTCCCCTCGCCCCTCCTCCCTCCTCGACCTCCCTCCCCTCCCCTCCCTCCCCTCCCCTCCCCTCCCTCCCTCCCTCCCTCCCTACCTTCTCTTCTCACACTCGACACGAGCCCCTCGTCCTTTCCATTCCTCGCTCATCATCCCTTCACCTCACTTACCCCCCGTCTCTTGCTAACATTTCTTTCAGGCGGACGAGGAGGAGAAGTCGCCTACCCCTCCCTCTTTCCCCTTCGCTGCGGGAAAGCCGATCTTTGAAATCAACCGACCGGATCTTCCGTCCTTTAGCTTCAAGGAATCGACAGGAGGAAGCATCAAGTTTGATTCGCTGCCTTTCTTCAACGCATCTCAGTCCTTCCGAGGTAAAGTCGGCAGGAGAAAACAGAAAGTCAGAGGAGAGGCGAGGATAGGAGAGGAGAGGATAGATTCGCAGGAGAGAGGAGGAGAGAACTGATGGGAGCAAGAGTAGAGAAGTGGAAGGGAAAGGAGTAGAGGGATGGAAGAGATAGGAGGTATAGGATTGGATTCAAGTCCTGATGAGAAGGGAGGAAGGAAGATACGAGGCATCGGGTGAAAAAGATTGGGAGGGAGGTGGAGCGGAGCGTGGAGGAAACAAAAGAGAGGGTAGGAGAGCCGATGTGAGCTGAGAGTATCAGATGATGTAGAGGAGAGGGGACAGGAGGATCATAGGTGCGAGATGAGAGGCAGAAATGAATTAGATTTTTGTTGTTGGATGTTTTTGTTCACACCGCCTCCCAGTCATCAGCCAAGAATGGTCGGAGGGAGAGTTCCTGGGACTGGCTAAGGGAGGGACGGCCAACTTTGGATTCATCCGACCCAAAGGTAAAGAGAGGATGAGCGGGAAGCCGGAGGAGAACAGGGTGGGCGGGTGGGAAAGTGGGCGGGAGGGAGGGAGGGAAGGAAGAGGGAGGGACGAGGGAGGGAGGGAGGTACTGTTCGGAGAGATTGGTAGAGAGCAAATGGGATTCACAAGCTCAGGAAGGACAAGGGAGGCTTCAAGTACCCCATACCACATCGTTCACGATGAGGGGGGGGATAGAGCAAGCATGCAAACACACAGACAGGACCCACTGACCTGCTCCAAGGAACCTCCGGGCCCAACATCTTCGTGCACAAGAGCAACATCCACGATGAAGTGCAGACTGGAGACGTTAGCTGACCTCTTGCCCGGCTCCGCCCGTGACGACATGCCCTGCAGGTGGTGAAGTACCAGCTCGCCCCGCACGAGCCTCTGTCCAGCGTTAGTCCCGCCATCCTCCTGCTCCTCCTCTCTGATGGATGTTGTTGCAGAAGAGTCCAGTGGGTGACAAGAACGAGATGAAGAACGACAAGCTGCAAGTGATATTCGCCTCCTCCTCCTCCTCCTCCTCCTCCCCTTTCCCTCCTCCATTTCTTCCCCCTGTTTTCCCTCTCCTCCTCCCACTTGTCATTTTCCCACTGCCTCGACCTCCCTTCTACCTTCCTCGCTCTGCCATCCTCTTCTCTGTCCTTCGTGCTGCCCTATCCTTGTACTCGCGGTCGTCCCTGCCTTGATCCGTCCTCCTGCTCACAACCCTCCATGATGTTCCCTCCCTCCCTCCCTCCCTACCTCTCTCCCTCCCTCCCTCCCTCCCTCCCCTCCCTCCTTCCCTCCCTCCCTCCCTCCCTCCCTCCCTACCTCTCTCCCTCCCTACCTCTCTCCCTCCCTCCCTCCCTCCCTCCTTCCCTCCTTCCCTCCCTCCCTCCCTCCTTCCCTCCCTCCTTCCCAGGCTCCTTCCCTCCTCCCTCCCTCCCTCGCTTCTCCCTCCTCGCTCTTCCTTCCTCCCCTTCCTCCTCTTGCTCCTTCTCTCACACTCCCCTTCCTACATTCACTCCTCCCACAGGCAGTGAATGTGAGGCGGGCCGATGGCAGCCAGGAGGACGCAGCAGCAGAAGTGCAACCAGCATCGTCACTGCAGGGCTCGTTCCCTTTCCCTGCTCAGTCAAGTCTCCCGGCTCCAACTCCAACGAGCAACACAAACTTCTTCCCTTTCCCGGAGGTCTCGAACTCGACGCATGCAGCAAGTCAGCTGCCCTTCTTCGACTTTCTTGCCAAGAGTGGAAGCAAGGAGCAGCAGGAGCAGACGAATACCCCACAGCAGGAGAAGACGAGCACACAAGAGGAGGAGAAGACGACCACACGACAGCAGGAGCAGCCAAAGAATGACTGGAGGTGTACGACTTGCCTTGTGATGAACAAAGACAGTGTTATGAGATGTGTTTGCTGTGAGGCGGAAAACCATCGGCAGGTACTCAAGATATTTCCTGTTTCCTTCCTGTCTTGACAGGGGTTCGCAGTTGGTCCTCAACCCAAATCCTCCCCGGCACAATTTTTCCCAACATCTTTTCCTGTGCCGAGAGGTGAGGGAGGGGAAAACTACTCGGAATGAGCTTTAACGAGATGTACTCATGAATGATTGGATGATGATGATCATGATGATGATGATGACTAGGAAGCGATGATGTCTGACGACATGTTCTTGTCTTCTCTGTTTTCATTCAACGATTCAGAATTTGATTCGCTCCCTCTTGTTCTCTCCTCCTCCACCATCACCATCACCACTTCTCTCTTTGCATGTCATTGATTGCGTTTTGCAGAGGACCCTTCCAAGTCAACCACCCAGCAACAGCAACAGCAACAGCAGCAGCAGCAGCAGCAGCGAGTGAGTGCGAGGACGGAAGTAGAGCAGGAGCAACATTCTGCTTCGCCTCCTTCAGCTGCTCCTCCTCTTGCTCCTGCTACCCGCGGGGATCTGTTTCCTTCTCGTCCAACGGCTCCTCGCCCCCCAGTGCTCGGAGCTCCTCGCCTCATGAGGTTTGCTCTTGCCCTGCTACCCAGCCATGTCACAGCCGTTGACTTTCTCCTCCTCCTCATCCTCCTCCTCCTCCTCATCCTCCTCCTCATCCTCATCCTCCTCCTCCTCCTCCTCATCATCATCATCATCATCCTTCTCCTCCTCCTCCTTCATGTGTCTCGCTTTCCTTCTCTTTCCGTCTGTTTCCCCCCCGGCAGGATCTCATGTATCGTAACCGATCTTCCACGGGCTGTAGACTTTCTTATGACGGTGAGGAGGAGGAGGAGGAGGAGGAGGAGGAGGAGAAAGGGAGCTCACCAAGTTGCAGGTTGTCGGATTGACGATGATGCGGCACGAGGAATTTGCACAGAGCGTAGAGAAAGCGCAGGAGGTAGAAGGAGCTCGAGACTATGAGAGGCAAGTGAAGACATAAGGACGAAGAGGGGGGGACAGAGCAGAGAAGAACAGAGGGAAGGAGAGGAGAGGAGAGGAGAGGAGAGAGGAGAGGAGAGGATAGCAGGCAAGGGCATCTATGAGCTTGTTGTTGACTTGCGAGTGTGCAGAGGAGATTGGTCGAGAACTCTTCTTGGGTTTGAAGGTTCAGATGATACAAGTTTGTGTGTAGAGGTATCTCCATCGTGAACCTCCTTTCAATTCCCCCCCCAGCTCTCCCGTCATCCTCTTCCTCCTTTGCCCCCACTTATCATCATCACTACCTCCTCTCCTGTCTTCTCTCCTTTCCCGCTTTTCCGAACTCACCCTCTCTACCCGCTTATTCTTACTTCATCTCTTCACGTCTCATCCTTGCCTCTCTTCTCCTCCTCTCTTCTCCTCTCCTCCCCCCCCTCCTCCTTCCTCGTCCTGACTTGTTTCGCTCCAGCTCATCTCTATCGCACGTCCTGTGGAACCATCGCAACCGCGAGACCTCACGGAGGTTCTTCGACTCTCCTCTCCTCCTCCCCTCCCTGACTTCACCGCAAAGATTTTGATCTTCAGCACTTCCGCCCTCTCCCGCCTCGTTGACTTCCAAGTCCCCTACCTCGAGACTCCCTCCGGCGTTGTCGCCCGCGTCCCTGGCGCTGCGCTCAATGTCAAGGTGACTTGCTTACCACCACCACCACCACCTCCTCCTCCTCCTCCTCTTCCTCCTCCTCCTCCTCTTCCTCCTCCTCCTCCTCCTCTCATCGCCCTCTACTCTCCTGCTTTCCGCTCCCTTCATCTCTCATTTCCTCTTGTCCTCTTTGTCTGCATGTTTTCCCCGCCACTCACCTCCTCTCCTGCTGCTCCTCCCCAATCGCCTGACTGACTGGCCTTGCAAGATTCTTCCTGCCCGCAGCCGGCAACTTACTCCTCACATTTCTGCCATCATCATCCCAACCAACAACATGACGGTTAGAATGTTCACTGCTCCTGCACTCCTACCTCTTCTCCACCCCTTCTTCATCCTGCCTCTCCTCCTTCCCTTCCTCTACCATCACCCCCTTTGCTCTCTTGTATCTTCCTCCATCTCCTCCCCTCCCTCCCCTCCCTCCTCTAGCTCCTTCGCCCCCCTTCCTCTTCCATAACCCTCTCTGCTCCATCCTCCCATCCTCTGCTCCCTCCTTTTCTCCTCCAACATCTTCCCTTATTGTCATTATACCGTCGTCACTTCCTCCGTGCTTCCCTTCCCCCTCCTCCCTCCTCCTCCTCCCTCCACCCTCCTCCCACCTCATCCTAACAGCGCTCCTCAGGAATCCCTCTCCTTCTTCTCGGGGGCTCTGGCCATGCAGGCGGCAGGGAGGGAGGAGGAGCGACAAGTTTCTCTCTCCTGCGGCCCTCAGGGCTCCAGGATCCTCTTGGTCAAGTCGACGAGGGGAGAGAAAAGGACGAGCTCCTCTCTGATCCGCCTCGTCTTTGGCTGCTCCGCTCCTGTCCTCAGAGCGGTGATGTTCCCTCCCTCCTCCTCCTCCTCCTCCTCCTCCTACTCATACTCCTCTCTCCTCCTCTTCCTCTCTCCTCCTCCTTTCTCTCCCTCCCTGCTCCTCCTCCCTTCTACCTGTCCCCCCCCACCCCATCTTTGTGCCTCCTGCCATCCTCCTCTCCATCATTGTCTTCCTATGCTCCTCTTACCCCCATCCACTGAGCTCCCTCTCCACATCGCCCCTTCTTCCTTCTCTCTCGTGGTCTCAATGTCTCCTGCTCGTCCAGGTGGCTGCGGGGGCGAAGGAGCAGCGAGCGAAGGAGCTTCTGCCGCTCTCATGCGTGCAGGGCCCAGAGGCCTGCAACATGACCATGACAATCTTTGAGGTGAGGAGAGAGGAGGAGGGAGGAGGAAGAAGAGAATGACGGAGAGAGGGAGGAAGAGGGAAAGGACGAGGGGAAGAGAGGGGAGAAGGGAGGAGGTCGACAGGAGTTGATTGGGGAGGACGAAGGGGGAAGGGGGAAGGAGGAGTAAGAGGACAGGAGTTGACGGGACTTGCAGTCGCCTGAGGGGCTGGAGGTTGCTGCCGTCGACAAAGACTCGGTACTGAAGATGTCAGCTTTGGATCACTCAGCAGGTGAACGAGAGAGAGGAGAGGAGAGGAGAAAGGGGAAGAGGAGAGGAAAGGTGAGGACTGGGAACAGAGACAGAGACAGAGAGAGGCAGGGCAGATGGCGACAGTGTAGGAGCAGAGTCAGGTGGACGAGGAAGAGGCAGGAAGGAAGGGAAGGAAGAGATGAGTTGAGAGAGGGGACATGAAGTTGAACCTGCCTGTGTCTTCCAGCCACGAGATTCGCCGCTATCCACGAGTCATCAGAACGGCCTGAGCTAGAGGCCTCTAGCGCCCAGACTTCGCCTCTCAAGCTCCTGTCCTCGCAGATGCAGGAGGAGCGAGGGAAGGAGGAAGGGAGGGAGGAGGAGGGCATGAGCGACGGCGAGCTCCTCGCCCAGCAGGTCTCGTCTCACCTCTCTCCGTTCGCCTACTCGCAGGGAAGCCACCTCAAGCATGCCAGGTGCTTTCTCGCTCTTGTCCCACAGACACCTCCTCCTGCCAGCTCACCTTCCACGTCCCCTCCCTGCATCGACTTTCTACATTATCTGCTTCATCCTCGTCGTTGTCATCGATCTCCCTGTCATCATCACCATCTGAATCATCATCATCACCATCACCATCTCAATCATCATCATCATGCCCTCTTGCTCCCATATTCAAACATTCCTACAGGTTCGCGATCGAGTGGCGCCCGACTGGCTACTTCCTAGACGGCATCGAGAGCGAGGGGAGGGGCATCTACATCACCTGCCGGACGGAGCAGCAGCTGGTGGAGCTGGGAAACTCTCAGACGGTCAAGATCGAAGGGGTCGACATGGCCATGGACGTGAGGAGGAGCGTCGAGCTGGAGCTCGAGAACGAGATGCTCGACCCTGGGGAGGAAGGGGAGAGCAGCAAGTACCTCACTGTCGCAGACGAGCATGCGAGGAAGAGACTCGTTGCCCTCCTGTGCGCGTTCAGGGAGATGCCCACGTACGTCGGAAGCAGAAGGTGAGGGGGAGGAGCAAGGGAAGGAAAGGGGCAGGGGGGAGTGGAGAGGAGAACGGAGAACGGCGACGAGGATGTGAGCCTGACCATGGATGCAGAATCTTCGTTCCGCAAGCAACCTTCTCCTTCTAGTCTGCTGATGGGGCTAGAGTCTTGTAAATATGTAAATGAGGGAAGAGCACTCAAGACGACATGCAGTCTACGTATTATTCATTGGCTATGATGAACATTTAGTAAAGAATCTTTCCGAGGCCAAGGTTGATGACATCGGTAACAGAGGTGCCAGTGAAGAGAGCAGCGGTGGTGATGGAGATGACGCCGAGCATGGCAAGACGGCCATTGATCAGCTCAGCCTGTCAGAAACATATCACCAAGAGGATGATCGCATGCGGGAAGAGAGGAGAAGAGAGAAACAAACACGAGAAACGCGTCAGAGAGGAGGAGTTCAGCTCACCTCGGCAGTGAGACCAGTCTTGAAGGGGGGGATGAGACCGGCAGGGGCCTCGGGCTTGTATCCCTGGTCCTTGACGAGGGTGTCCTGGAAGCCGAAGGGAGCGAAAGCGGCCAAGATGGAGACGAAGAGGACGTGGACGTGAGCGACGAGGATGATGGCGCGCTCGTTGGTGATGGGGGCGTTGAAGCCTCCGTTGACGAGGGGTCCCCACTGGCTGACGTCGAGGATCTTGTCGCCATCGGGGATGAGGCCACGGCCGTGGAGGTAGGAGCTCAGGACCATGAAGAAGATGCCGAACATGGCATGGCGTCCGTTCCATCGCTCAGCGTTGGTGGTGACGCCGAGGCCGCGGGATGCGAGCTCGGGGTTCTCGGAAGCGAACTTCTCAACGGCTCCAGCCATGGGGTTGCCCTTGGCCTGCATGGAGACGGTGGCCAACCCTGGCAACAAGCATCAGACTAGATAGAGGATAACAGGATAACATGGCGGGGAGTGACAACAGCGTCAGGGATAATCTGTACGTGTTACACAAATCTGCACATCGAGACTAGTTGCTAGTCATTGCGAAAAGAATACACTTGAATGATTGTTCACAAGGAATGAGACTGATAAAATCAATCATAGCACGTTCTAAAATTGAACAAGACAACAAGAATATGCATGACCATGTGACTAGCCTTGTGCTATTCTGCAAACAAGACGAATTTTCTTTCGCCCCGATACACGTCGAGATGTCAACATTCGAGAACAGACAGTTCAACAACGTGAAAAATTCATGCATCACAAGATCAAAAGAAGATGCAAAGGACGATCAAAGCATTCTGATCCTCCATCATAACAAAGGGGGCGGGACACTGCATTGGAACACCCCATCCCCACTTTGTTCAGACAGTCGAGTATCCCTGCAACCGAACCCTCTCAGACTCACCATGGCGAGCAGGTCCACGCTGAACAGCAGGGGAGGAGCGGAGGGAGAGGGAAGGAGAAGCTGAAGGAGCAAAGGCTGCCGCGGAGGCGCAAGCGGAGAGCACGAGGATCGAGCGGAGCATGACGGCGGTAAGACGAACGACCTACCCCCACCCCTTTTAACCTGTCATAAGACTACCCTACCCCATCATAATCCCTCCAATCCTCTGTATGATTGGGGTCCTTGATTTGTTTTAAACCGCAGGACCCTACCCTACAAAAAGTTGGAAACTACCCATCCATGACGATATAAAAGTACCCGTTGCTTTTATACCCCTACCCCCCTACACACTTCAGCTTTACTATCACCCCGCCTTCTCCCAACCACCCCTTATGATCTGCTCTCACCCCCACCTGATAGCGGCGCACAGCATCACCATAGTACCCCTACAATATACATTAAGTACCCTACCATATTACCATAGAAATGTCTTACAGCTCAACCAACCCCCTGTCTCTATGTACCCTACCCCCACTCTACACATTCATTACCCCGTATTTATTTATGATCCCGGTGTGACGGATCTTCCATGTGATAACGGTCGGTCTCATATTGTAACGGTCCATAACCCGAATACTCGGACCCGACCCGTGACCGTCGGCCCAGTGGCCGGGTCAGCCTACCGGGCGGGCCGTTAAAGCGAACGGGCCGAGCCTGTCCCGGGTGCCACGGTGGTCAAGTTTGTGCGACTAGCCTGGCCCGCCGCCGCCGCTCGGACTCTCAGGCTGAAGTGATGAGTTAGATATCCCGCGCCATCGAGGGCCTGGGATACCTGATCGAGACATACCAACCAAGCGTCAAGTTGTAATGTTGCAGGAGGTCTTGGTAGGGAGGAGGAGGAAGGAGACAGCTCTCAGAACGATGATCAAGAAGGAATGGGGATGCTACCGAATGTTTATGACGAAAGGCACGGGGGACGGGAGAAAGGGTAAGAGTGATCTTCGCCTTGTGATGCTAGCGCATGCTGACCTCCTCCCCCCCCCCCCCCCCCCCCTCCTCTAGCCGCCTCGAATGATGGCGGGGGAAGAGCGCGAAGTATGCAAAAAAATACAAGTTTTACAGATCGGGAAAAAAGAACCGATAATACGCATTTGTAATGTACATTTCCCTACAGCATCGAAGGAGGATGAGCAAGCCGACATGTGGAAAGCGCTGAGTCAGATGCTAAGGACAGATCCAAGCGTCAAGCTCAACATCGTCGGAGGCGACTTTAATGCATCTCGAAAACACCCTGAGATCCTCATGAGAGAAGGATACGGGAACATTACAACGCTTGGTTGGTATGTCTCGATCAGGTATCCCAGGCCCTCGATGACCAGGCCCTCGATGATTATCACTGCGCCGGGTTCGATCACAAGTGCCGACATGGCCTTCAGTTCCATTGACTACTTCCATTCTCCGATTTACAACTCCGACGATATTAAGGTTTGGTGTTACAGTACCGGGTTTTCAGCCGTAATGGCCATCATCGTCATTCGGCGCTCCATTGACTACTTCCATTTCGACAACTTCCTTTCATTGCCTTGTGTTTCTAACTCAGTAAAGAACTAGTCGTACTTCAGCTCCGATCTTGTCTCAAGTTCGACCATGCAGCACTACCTTCAAGTACATTATCAACTCCTTTTGGTATGATTGCCACTCACAAAGCAAGAAACAAAATTTCAATCATGTGGCATGTGGAGTGGCCGTTTCCATTATCCTCGCAACATTAAGCTAGCTTCAACCTGTTGAGTCGGGACGTGGTGAAAGGAACTGACAACCAAAAGTGAAACCCAACGTCAAGGATGAAGCTGCGAGCCCAAGAGCTACAAGTACATTCAAAGAGGCGAAACAACTTGGAACCAAAAGTTGGTATCAACATGACCGGGAATGAAATCATTTTTGCTGCAGATCCCTCAATCAGAACCCGCGTGCTTTGAGGACCTGTCTGAAAGTTCTACTTCCTTGTTTGTACTACTCATCAGTCGCTGGGCTGGAATCGAACCAGCCGATAGCACACCAGTGCCAGCAAAATAGGTGTTGAAAACACCAGTACAGTCGAGGGCAATTCGATTTCGCGATCATGTTTATCCTCCGAAACCGTAGAGGGTACGTCCCTGGCGCTTGAGAGCGTAGACGACGTCCATAGCAGTGACGGTCTTCCTACGAGCGTGCTCGGTGTAGGTGACGGCATCACGGATAACGTTCTCGAGGAAGACCTTGAGGACGGAGCGGGTCTCCTCGTAGATGAGACCGGAGATACGCTTCACACCACCACGACGAGCGAGACGGCGGATAGCGGGCTTGGTGATGCCCTGGATGTTGTCACGAAGAACCTTCCTGTGACGCTTGGCTCCTCCCTTTCCGAGACCTTTACCTCCCTTTCCTCTGCCGGACATGGTGTGTTGTGTAGCGCTCCTCTCCCGCCGCCTCCTTTTGAAACCTCCAGCGGGGGGAACACAGCAAGCACAGTGCCTGGTTATTCTGTACCCCACCCCCTCAAATTTTCATTTAGAACACCTGAAATGTGGGGTGGGGGTCATTCCCCCGGTGTTTGCCTCAGAATGCTTAATTGCCCCCGCGCTGTTGGCTGCCGATACCCTCGCAAGCCTGTGATAAGTTGCCCTCAGTGGTGGCTCTCATGATAGCGCCGGGCACACGCCAGCCTGATGAGAAGATCAATCATCACGATTCAGTGTACTAGAGTACAGGCTAGTCCGAGAGGCTGTCCGACATCCGACGATCACCCGGCGTGATCAGGTGTCACTGCTAGTAGCCTAGACTCGACGGTAGTCACGGTCAACGGGCCCACCAGGGCCCGGCCGGGCCCCGCCGGGAACTTGCCCCGTCACGTCAGTGATGGTTACTAGTTAGGACAAACTTTGAGAAAGGTGAGAAGAACCCTGATCCGCCGTCACCGTACGGTATTTGAGACGTTCGAACAGATCTATCCTCAATGCCAGGAGCAATCATTGTCTGCCCCCAAGCTCGAAGCGAGCAGCATTGGCAAGCGGCAAACTTGAGCCGGGAGAGTCCCCTCCTAACTAACTTGTTGAATAAGCGAGCGGCGACCTGCATATTGCAGCCTGGCCCGATGGTGGACGGAGGCTACGGCACTGTAGGATTATGTTGCGATCTCTAAGAGGGGTATCCGATTTGGCAGGGTTTAGGAGGGGGAGTCTGATCCGCCGGAGTCTGAGTCGATAGCGAAAGGACACGGCGGTTCCCCACTGTCACCAGTACCACTGCACAGTCGGAGATCGGACCGCAGTTCAGACGTTCTGTGACCGTGTTCGAGGCACTCCAGGCTCGGAGCTTGCAAATGATGGGGAAGGTGAAGCATAGAGCCTCTGAGTTCAACGAGATCTCGAAATAGTCCTGCCCAATCCTCTCATTCCAGGTTCGTATGAGACAAAATCTCGAGTCGTGTTGAAGCCCCTAATCCTGACATATTTAAAGTCGCTCATCAGACTCTAGGACAGCTGTTTCTCGTCTCCTGTTGTATATATTGTCCGTGCATCGCTAGTGTACACTGATGATCATTCGCTTTCGCTGCAGTCGTCGGGCAGAAACAATGCTGCATCTGTACCCGCCATGATTCTACAACGTAACTTGAAGACGTGGCAGCATAGTTACAAGGCTCTCGAGTGTATTAATTAATATCTTACTGCCCTTATATGTTACACCATCTGCACCAGTATCCTATCTACACCTACTGTACAATCCTTACACTTCTCAGCATCTCCTTACACTTCTCAGCATCTGCTGTGTCGTCTATGGACTCTTGTCGCATCCACCCCCTTGCCGGAGGTTGCCCTTTACCTTGTCTCTTGCTGCCAAGATACTCCCTAGAGCCATCCCGTTGGACACTCGTCTAGTCTGGGCGGTGTCTTCTTGCTTCCTGACGGGTCTGCTGGCGTACCAGACTTCCTTCTCTGGCAGGGACACCCAACTTGCTCGCCGGGCAGGCATCAAGAGCCCGTCGGGAGAGGCCTTGGGGGAGGGGGGCATGTTGTAGCGGAGGAAGGCTGTGTGGCACATGGAACGTGGGAGCAGGGAGGTGAGATCTGCGGGAGGGAAAGTGCGTTTATGTCATAGCGAAGAAGGCAGATCCGAGCAGGAAAAGAGCTCTTTTCGATCCTGAGTACAATGGGTATCTGAACCTGCAGGAAATGAAGTCTTTTCGGTATCAAATCCGTCCATTCGTATCTGAAACCCGTGAGAAAGAGTCTTTTCAGTATCAAGTCCGGGGAAAGTTGGTCCGAGTGGTGCATGCCAGGAACGTGCCTGGTAAAGAAGGAGTTGGAGGGCAGGTATTTCGTTTGGAAATGAACTGGGAACACTGTGACAGAAGACCATGGCACAACCGTGACCTGCTTCACGAAAATGATCTATTTCAAGACAGTATCGATATCCTTCCACCGTACCAACTGGCAAGGAGTCGCCGGTATGCGACAAGACTGTCTCGACTGTGAGACGACCCGGCAGATCGGATGGAGAAAAGCGGGCCGAAGCTTTTAGACTAGTAGGTGTAGCTTGATAGCAGCGGCTCTGCGGCTAGGTACGGTTGGAAACGGCACAGAGATGATGTTACAACACTACTGAATATACAAAGAATCAAGCTGATGATATCCCTAACTTGAACCTTGTAACCATGGCCCCCACGGCGTCTTCATGCCAAGGTTACTCCTGGGCTGAGTGCAGAACAGGGACAGTCAAACGTGCGGCAGCTGGGCGTGATCGTTCCGAGGATGAGAGTAAGAAAGAGAGAGTGAGAAAGAGAGCCATGGGCACAACCTGTTGTGGAGTTGGTCGTGTGAAAACAGAGAAAGCAGAGGAAAGAGCAGAAGAAAATGAAATAACCCCAGTGAACACGGATGTTTTATTCGGTTAGTCTTTCAGCTGTTGTCATCTGAATATCTTTTCTCGGCTCGCAGCTGGCCCTTTTCCTTCATGCCTGATCAATATTGAAGCTGTTTTTGTCTTTGTCCTCCATCTTCTAACGCAGAACTGTCCTTCTCGCTGCCAGAATGTTCTCTAGCACACTCCCCATATGACCGCAAGGCTTCTCTAGGCTTATCGTCCTCTTGACGGGAAGCCCGTGCGTTGAGCTTACAACAGGCTTCAACTTCTTACTCAAGTACCATTCCTCCTTCTCCGGTAGGGAGATCCATATAGCTCTCCTCGCTTGCAGTGGTCGGTCAGCGACAGCAGGGGGGTCGAGAGTAGCTGAACTATTTGTATGCAGCGTTGTGCTCATTCCTAGTGAGATGCTATGAAAGTCAGTCTGTCGCTACGAAACAGCTCTTTCTGTTCCGCGACGATGCACTCTTTAAACCCAGGTTGTTCTCTTTTGTATCTTGCGACAGTAACTGGACAGTTTTTACCGATCTCGGTCGACAGCGGTAGGTGGGGAGTTGAGGAAGAGTCGGCGAGGGTTGGAACGAAAGAAGCTGCAGGGACAGGGACAGGGGCAGGGGCAGAAGGAGAAGCAGGGGCAGGGGCAAGGGGAGGGGAGGGGAGGAGGCAGTAGCAGGAAGGGGAGGAGGAATATTTGGAGCACTGATGAGCAGGTTATGATGACTTGGACCGTCGGAGAAGCGATGAAGCGGTGCGAGTGCAGGACGTCCGAGCAGCTCAGATATGATTGGGGACGAAAATTGCTTGTCACGTGTTCCTGGAGGGGGTTTAAAACAAGGAGAATAGGGGGGTAGGGGTGGTCCCCAAGGAAGAAGGTGGATATGGAAATCGGATATACTGCTCTGAGGCGGGTCCAGATCATGCCGTGACCGTCGGACCCGGCCCCCGGTGACCGTCGGAGCCTGGCCGCGCCGCCGCTCACCGGACCGGGTGACGGTGGCCGCCGAGTCTCCGAGTCGGATGCCCGCGACCGTACGGTACTCACACGGTACCGTCAGTGACAGGCTCTCGGACCGGCGGGCGGCCGCCCGGGCAGGCCGACCGTGGGCAGGCTCGGACTCGCCGGGGCGTGACTCGGACCGTGACGGGCCACTGCGCCGTGCCAGGCCCGGGCTCTGTACCGTGACGGTACTACGGTATGGTCAGTGATGGCACCGGCGGCCCGGCGCCCCGCCGCACTGCAGGCTCAGGGCCGACCCCCCGGTCCGACGGTCGGTCACGGTCAGTCACTGACACACTACACTGAGTGCCACCGTGGGCACTGAGATCACTGTCACCGTCACGGTCGGATGCCACATGACCGTGTCACTGTGTGACTCAGTGTTGATCGGACGGCATTGCGGCGGCTTGCCCGGCCCCCCGACCGGGCCGCCGTACCGTGAATGACCGTACGGCCCGGCCGGGCCATCATGTTGCGGCGCAGTGCCGGCCGCCGGGCCAAAGAGACTCCTGGCACTGCGGCAGGCAGCCATGGGAGGAATAGGGGTGGGTGAATCATTAGTCCTATACGGGGTGGGTTATTATGAGATGTAGGAGGGGTACTTGCACAATTAATATGGTACTTTAGAGTGTACGGGGTAGGGTGGGAACACGTGAAGATGGTGGCGGGAGCAGGACGAACGCGGCTATGCGTGAAGGGACTGCCAGGTCACTTGAGCAAAGGTAAGAGAGGAGGAGAGGGGAGAGAAGGAGAGCAGAGCAGAGGAGAGCAGAGGAGAGCAGAATCGCAAGGATGCTCTACAACAAGTGGGGGAGGAAGGACGAGGAAGGGAAAGAGTTTGTCAGACTCTGTGAATGTGCTAGAAGAGACCACAGAGGAGGTGAGACAGAAAAGTGACATCACAGTCTTTATGACTGCGTGCATGGAGACTTGAACCGAGCTCGAGGACTCAGCGCCTCGATGGCCTCGCGTCGAGCGCTTGCAACTGTAGAGCAACAAGGGTCACTAGGAGTCTTTGAAAATCTGTCACAAAAAAATCGAGACTGATCTCGATCTCAAACGTCAGAGCGACTCCGCAAGCACTTTGAGGAGATAGCTGAAGTCACTGATGCAAGGATATGCACAACAAGGCAAGTTGTGCCGCTTACACCCGGTGTCCTCCATCTGACCGCTGTACCAGTGATGGCAAATCAAGAAATTTTGGTTTCGTCGGGTTCAAGTCCGAGAAAGATGCTCACAAGGCCCTCAAGTACTTTCAAGATACGTACATGTACGATGATGTCAGAGCTGTCAAGATCATTTATTGACGACTTGATACTCCTGCAGCGACACGTCAAAGATTACTGTCGAGTTCGCAAAGCCGGTTTGACGCTGTTTGATGCTCATTCTAGTTGTTGGTTCTTTTCCTGCTCATTTGCTATCTTATCGATGAAGATGAAGATGAAGATGAAGATGACGATGACGATGACGATGACGATGACGATGACGATGACGATGACGATGACGATGACGATGATTGCTCATGGCCCTTGTCTTTGACTTTTCCTGCAGGTTGGTGACTCGTCGCTGTCACGGCCATGGAGTAAATACTCTGAGGGTAGCTCAGCCCATGATCGGTGAGTTTTGTGATTGCCAACACAACTGGGTGATCAAAACAAATCCAGCGTGACTAAGAAACACTCTTCTGCTGATGTTTCAGAGAACCCGACGAAACCAGAGAAGAAGGTGAGAACGTATTGAAGCTGTACTGCTGAAGCATGACAGTTTGAAAATAGTTGTCAAAGGAGGCACAATTGCTGCAGAAGGTTTTGCTGGACAAGATGCAAGGGATGCTGGTGTGACCTTCTCCTGACAGGCGAAGACAGACCCTGAGATGAAGGCGTTTGTTGAGTCGTTCAAACCGAGATCGAAGACCAAGGTAAGAGAGCGAGGGAGCGGGGAGGAGAGATGCTGTGGGTTGACTCGCCCTTGTAGATCTGGGAGAATGACGACCCTCTCCTCGCTGCTGCGGAAGTCAAACAGGTCGGAACCACACGTTGGATGTGATTTTGCTGGCATGAGGGAAAGTAGACTTGTCTGTGTTGATCATGATTATAGAGGAGGAGTGGAAGATAGGAAGGAGGGGGAGGGGGAGGAGAACAAGCAGAGCAAGGGAGATGTATTTGAATATGTTGCTGGAGGGTGAAGAATGTCAACAGGTGGCAGTCAAATCAAAGAAGCCGGAGGGGAAGGAATCGTACATACGAGGACACACGTCAAGTTTGATGACAGCGAAGCTGGAACGAGCGATGAAGAGTATGAAGACGTACCGAAGAAGCAGGAGGATGGAGAGAAGGAGGACGGGGAGGGAGAGGCCAAGGGGGCAGGAAAGGATGCGAATCAGGCGTTCAACCCTGCTCTTGATGACATGGCATACTTGAAGGCCAAGGTAAGTTGGCGGTGAGGAGGGAGGGTGGGTGGAAGACGAGATCAGGAGGGGAGAGGAGAAGAGAAAGTAAAGAGAGGGGAAGGGAGAGGAGGGGGCAGCGGAGCTGCGGGGGGATTCATTTGGATATATGTTCCGTCCATGACTTTTCTTCTGTCTTTCCAAAGATGAGCAGCAGCTGGAAAGATTCAGACGACGAGGTGAGGCGCCGCAGCGCTTGTGAAACATCCTGACGAAAGTTGTGATGTAGGATGAAGGAGCCTCTGAAGACGAGATGAGTGATGAAGGAGGGATGAAGAAAGTTTCTAAGGGCCGGGACGATGAAGAGGAACAGGAGGAGGACGAAGGCGGTGAGGAGGAGGATCAGGAGATGTCAGAAGGAGAAGGCAAAGATCGAAAGGAAGACCAGCCTGACATGTCTCATGTTACACAAGCAACGAGGCAAGATGTTGAGCAAGACAAACGGGACGATGACGAAGATGATGAAGTGGAGGACGGGAGACTTTTTGTCAGGTGACGACACAGGATTGATTGAACGAATTGTGTGACGACCGGGTTTCAGAAATCTCCCATACTCAACGAGTGAGGAAGAGCTTACAGCCTTCTTCAGCAAGTTCGGGGAGCTGAGCGAAGTTCACATCTGCATCCACAACATCACAAAAGAGCCGACGGGGATGGCGTTTATCTTGTTCCTCATCCCTTCGGATGCTGACAAGCAAGGTGATGAGAAGGAGGGAGGGAGGGAGGGAGGGAGGCAGGGAGGGAGGGAGGGAGGGAGGGAGGGAAGCAGGGAGGAGGAGAAGGTGAATGGGAAGGTGGAGGAAGTGGGAGAGAGCAGGAAGAAGTGGGGTGATCGAGGTCTACCAGGGAAGCGACGGACAACAACTACTTTCAAGGAAGAGTCATCAACGTCCTCCCAGCAAAGCAGAGGAGGAAAGAGGAGGAGGAGCAGAAGAAGCTGGAGGCGGGGAAGGACGGGTCCTCCTACAAGGCAAAGAAGAAGGAGCAGCAGAAGAAAACTTCTGCCTCTTCGCACAACTGGAACATGTTGTTCATGAGGTCTGACACAGTTGCTGAAGCTATCGCCAACAAACATCAGATGGACAAGGTGAGAACGATCGGAGATGCCATTGTGCTTGTTGTTGTTTGTTGTTGTTTGTTGTTGTTTGCTTCGTCCAGCCCTCTGAGTCAATGCTGAAACTGCTGAGTGCTCTTGCCGCCCTCCCTGCACCCTCCTCCTCCGCGACCTCCTTCTCCTCCTCCTCTTTTTCTGCCTCCTCCTCCTCCTTCACCTCCTCCGCCTTCAACCCCTCTCCTCTGACTTCCTTCACAGGCCCAACTCTTGGACCACGAGTCTTCCTCCAGCATGGCCGTTCGCATGGCTCTGGGGGAGACTCATATCATAGAGACAACTAAGTCTGACCTGAGAGAAAACGGAGTGAATGTGTCTTGCCTCGAGGTAGCGTGGAACTTGTTTTTGGTCTCCTCTTTTTGCCTTGTTGAAGTTTTTCTGTTTGTCTTGGAAACATTCAGGTGGAGAAGAAGCCCAGGGACAGGTCGAACACAGCAATGCTGGTGAAAAACATTCCATTCAGGTGATACAATGGGAACATGGAGCGAGATGTGGGGCGAGGGGAAGGAGGAGGAGGGAGAGAGGGCGAAAAGAGGAATGAAAAACACGCTGGGGAAAAGCGATGGAGAGGAAACAGGCACCACCACCACCAGCAGCAGCAGCGGCATTTCCATGCTAAACTTTGTTTGTCTTCCAGCACAACTCTACAAGAGTTAAGAGAGTTGTTCGAGAGATTCGGAGATGTCAGTCATGCTGTGCTCCCAAAGACAAAGGTCCTATATCAACCCCACTGCTCCTTCTAAAAACTCCTTCTCCTCTTTGATCTTTCCCTCCCCCCTCAACCCTCCTCCTTCTCCATCAAACCTCTTTGTCCTCGTCCTCCCCCCCCTTCGCCTCTTCCACTTTCCTCTTCTTCTGCAGTCTAACTTCTCAACAGACGATGGCGATCGTCGACTTCACTCATCCCTCGGAAGCTCGAAAAGCCTTCAAGTCTCTTGCTTACTCTCAAGTATGCCAACACTCCTCCTCTTGCTCCCTCTCCTCCTCCTCCTCCTCCTCCTCCTCCTCCTCCTCCTCCTCCTCCTCCTCCTCCTCCTCCTCCTCCTCCTCCTCCCCCCGCACTCCGCTCCTTCCCCCCCGCCCCCTTCTCCTGCTCCTCCTGCTCCTCCTCTTCCTCCCTTTACATCCTTACGTCAGTCCCACGTTCTTTGAATCCGCCTCTTTCTCCTTCTCCTCCTCCTCTCACTCTCTCGACAGTTCAAGCACCAACCCATCTACCTCGAGTGGGCACCTGTCGACATTTTTCTGCCCGGGGCGCCGACGCTGTCCTCGGAAGGGGGCAAGAAGCAGCCCAAGGCAGTCGAGGAAGAAGGCAAGACCCAGGAGGGCGGCAAGGCAGGCAAGCAGGAGAAGCAGCAGGAGGAGAAATCTCCTGAGGGATCGGGGAGGACCCTGTACGTGAAGAACCTCAACTTCAAGACCACGGAGGAGGCGCTGAAGGGGAAGATGGAAGGAGGAGGAGGGGAAGTGAAGGCGGTCAGGATCGTGACGAAGCCGAACCCTAAGGCAGGGAAGGACAGCAAGGAGCCTTCCCGTCTGTCCATGGGCTATGGCTTCGTCGAGTTCAAGCGGAGCAAGGACGCGAACGAAGCGCTGAGGTAGAAAAGAGGAGAGAGGGAGAACAAAGGAGGATCAGTATGAGAAGGCACAGACGACGAGAGAAAGGAATGAGAAGCGATTTGCAAGTGGGGTAGGGGTAGGACTCGAAGGAAATGGGGGATGGAGAAGGGGAGGTGGAGGAGGAGGAGGAGGAGGAGGAGGAGGAGGAGGAGGAAGGTGTGCTCGTGTGAGAGCGTTTGCAGGAAGCTGCAAGGAACGAAACTTGACGGGCATGTCCTACAGCTGAAGATGTCTTCAAGAGTGTCGGGTGAGATAGAAAACTCTCTCCTTCCATCTTCTGCCTCCTCTACCTCCCTCCTCCTCCTCCTCCTGTCCCCCTCTCCCCCTCTCTCTCCTCCCTTCCTGACTAGAACCCTCTTCCTTCTCCAGCGGACTCTTCAGCCGGAGAGGTCGACGTCACCAAGGACAACAGGAGCAGGGCAAAACCCAGCGACTCCCAGGCCCCCCAGGACTGCAGCAAGCTCGTCATCCGCAACGTCCCCTTCGAAGGTCAGGAGGAGGCGCGGGAGGGTCGAGGAGTGACGGCTGGTCAGCGAACAAGAAGGAGCTGCGAGACCTGCTGTCGTCGTTCGGGGAGCTGACGAGCCTGAGGCTGCCGAGCAAGTTCGACGGGAGCCATCGGGGCTTCGCGTTCGCGGAGTTCGTGACGCATCAGGAGGCGGCAGCGGCTAAGGACGCGCTAGGGGCGACACACTTGTATGGCAGACATCTCGTGATCGAGTGGGCGGAGGAGGAGCAGAGTCTTGAGGTGAGCGAAGGAGAGAGGGAGAGAGGGAGAGAGGGAGAGAGGGAGAGAGGGAGAGAGGGAGAGAGGGAGAGAGGGAGAGAGCGGAGAGAAGAGTAGAGGGGAGAGAAGGCAGAGAGGGGAGGTGGAGGGGTGCCGCGGAGTGAGACTGAGGGAGAGGAGGAGAGACGACTCAGACGAAGACCGGACTGGAAGGGCAGGAGCGAGTGGGGGCAGAGGGGAGAAGTGACGAAGGAGGCGGGGAGGAAGGGCAAGGAGGCGGAAGGAGAGGAGGGGAGAAGGAGCCCGGGGGCAAGGGGACGACGAAAGTTGATCATCCTGCTGCAGGCTGTGAGGAGGAAGACTGCTCGGTACTTCTCCAAGTTGTCGGAAGCCACAAGTCAGCAGGCAAGTGATGATGTTGCTCCGACCCACACGCTGAGAGGAGCCTGGGGGTTGCAGGGGACGGCCAAGAGGAGGAAGATCGAAGAGACGCTGGAGGAGAACGGAGAGATGGCGTTCGAGGAAGCCTTCGACTGAGCTACCATTGTAGTGGAGGAAGACTAGGAGAGATGGCGTTCGAGGAAGCCTTCGACTGAGCTACCATTGTAGTGTAGGAGAGATGGCGTTCGAGGAAGCCTTCGACTGAGCTGCCATTGTAGTGGAGGAGGAGGACTCCCCAGTTACTGAGCTGAGTCACCCTCGCTGAGGCTGGAGGGACAGGAGACTCGAGGGGACTCCGGGAGCGAAAAACTTTCACACTGTTGCTGGTACATGTTGAGGTTCACGGTTGAATAAAAGAGACTCACTAGGCTCGGCCTGTCGTCCCGGCACTGATACCGTGCTCCCAGCTGCGGCAGTCACCCGACTGACTGACATACTGGCTGACTGCCGCAGGCTTCACTGAGCCTTACAGGGCCCGGGCCAGATCGGACCCCCGGGGCCGTGATCATGTGACTCGAGCGACTCCTCCGACTGTTCCGAAAAAAAGAGCAGGTTGTGTACCGGGACCAAAAATGAAGGAGTCGAAACGCAGAGCTTTACTACATCATTCGTCTCATGGTAAAGTGAAGATCGCATCGTTTGAGATCTCAAACCGCTATCCCCCTTAACTTACACGAAGGAGCCCTGCGGCGCTTGTACACAGACAGACAAGCGCTATGGCAACACACGCACAGCTGTCCACCTCAGGCTCCCTCCCCGCCCTCTCCACCTTCTCCTCCAGCTTCTCCTCCGACTCCTACTCCTCCTCCTGCTCTCCCCAGCCCTCCTTCGACGAGCTCAGCCTCCCTTCCATCGACGACCCCGAGGAGTCGCTGCTGGTCGAGCTCGAGTGCCTGGGGCTGAGCAGCTCGCAGCTTGCCAGGGCGGAGCATCTGTCAGAGGAGAAGAGGAGGCGGCTGATCTGTCTGGCGCGATCTGTGCGATACATCCAGGCACATTTCATGCAGCCAGGAAAGGAGGAGAAGCACATGGCCTTGGGAATCTGATCTTCCGCATAACACGTCACGAACTCCGCGAACGCGAAGCCCCGATGGCTCCCGTCGAACTTGCTCGGCAGCCTCAGGCTCGTCAGCTCCCCGAACGACGACAGCAGGTCTCGCAGCTCCTTCTTGTTCGCTGACCAGCCGTCATGTCACTCCTCGACCCTCCCGCGCCTCCTCCTGACCTTCAAAGGGGACGTTGCGGATGACGAGCTTGCTGCAGTCCTGGGGGGCCTGGGAGTCGCTGGGCTTTGCCCTGCTCCTGTTGTCCTTGGTGACGTCATCTTACTTCGCTGTTCATCTCAACAACTTTCGGAGGACAATTACCAACCGGGCAGCTCAGTCCATCGAGTCACATCGAGCCAGCTGTCAACTTGTGACTTGTACACTATCATAGTTTGTATTCGCAACTTGCTATCTACACCTCGGTCACCTAGTAAAAACTCTAGTCCGAGTAAAACTCTCTGAGATGCACGAAGCTGCGTTTGTAGAACTCACTTCGTCTACTATCAAAACTGCAACCATCTGCCTTGTTGTCACGGCTCTCGAGCGACGTGCAGCTACTGCATCGTGACGGGGTAAATTCTGACGGCACGTTGGGAGCAGGTGAGACTTCTGAGAGCGGCAAGACGTGCAAAGGGCTTCTACCCCAGACACTCGAGCCGCTGAGCTGGACCAGCAGCTCAGCGTCCTCGGGATCGTCGTAACATAGCCTCGGAGGCGGGCCCTCTCCCTCTGCACTCCATGAGAGACGGGCCGATCGGAGATTTACTGAAGGGCCGTGCTGCTGTCACAGGATTGAGAGAGCCGTTCATCTTTACTACAGAAAACTCCGAGGAGACGTAAAGTTCCAATTTCAAGTTGCACGACTGCGACCTCTTGATGAACCGGCGCGTTCTTGTTGTTTCGGTGAGGCTCATAACCTTCCAGTACGATTGCTCACAAAAATCCGAATGCCCCTCAACAGGTCTCGTCCTCGTCAGCCCACCTGGCACCTCCGCCTCCTTCCGAAGTTCAACTTACCTCCTCCTCCTCCTCCTCCTCCTCCCTGAGTCACTCTTCTTGTGCCTCGTTCATCTACAACTCCTGTCGTCCTTCAAGTGACCGTCACGGTCATGTTACTTCGCCAGCTCGTCTCAACACTGCTGCCGGAGGAACTTCGAAACTCTCAATCACCAACGAGGCTACTCAGTCCATCCCAGTCACATCGAGCCAGCTGTCAACTTGTACATCATCATAGTTCGTACTCCAATCCCAATAAAACTCTCTGAAATGCACAAAGCTGCGTTTGTAGTACTTACTTCGTTGACTATTCAAACTGCAACCAACCATCTGCCTTGTTGTCCCGATTTCCGAGCATGTGCTGTTACCTGGTACTTTCTTTCGGGTAGATTCCAACGGAGCATTGAGAGTTCTAAGAGTGGCAAGACTTGCACAGGGCTGTTTGATGATAACTTTATTGATTCCTAACAATCTTACATGTAGTCCGACACAGCTTCTGTCAGATGACTGAGAAAACAATGAAAGAAACCGCAAACGCGTAGTCAGGCGGAAGAGGTGCTTTTGTTCGCCGATACTTGTTGTTGAAATTTATGTACAATGTCCTGACTTGATCTTGGCTGCCTGTTCCAGGTGAGTTTCAGTTCACTTCCTTCGGTACGTCTCCGCTCGTAGGAAGAGGATTGCCGACCTGATCCATAGATGAGCTTTGAATTAACCTGACCGATCGCGCCAGACAGATCAGCCGCCTCCTCTTCTCCTCTGACAGATGCTCCGCCCTGGCAAGCTGCGAGCTGCTCAGCCCCAGGCACTCGAGCTCGACCAGCAGCGACTCCTCGGGGTCGTCGATGGAAGGGAGGCTGAGCTCGTCGAAGGAGGGCTGGGGAGAGCAGGAGGAGGAGTAGGAGGACGAAGATGGTGAGGGGAATGAGGGGAAGGGTGAGGGTGAGAAGCTCTGTAAAGAGAGGGCTCGTGTAGCAGGACACTCCACCATGTCCCCCTGCGCTCCGGTAGCGGCAAGGTCCTCCGATTTACAAGGATCAACTTCAGAGTCAGAGTCGATTTTACTACTGCACGGAACGGAAACGGAACTGCTGCGACCTCTTGTTCCGATCGCGTTCCTGCCCGGCGCCGAGCCCGGACTCGGGTGTTGAGGCAACTGATCAGAGCAAGCCTCACCTCAGGTCATGTCAAGCAGTCGATGTGGCTCTGTGCACAAGAGCACTGAAAGGAAGCAGTCGATGTGGCTCTGTGCACAAGAGCACTGAAAGGACAGCAACAGCTACAATAGGGACGACGTAGGAGGATCACGAAGAAGACAGCAAGAACCTAGGACCCATGGATGGCAGCAGATGATAAGCGAGTCAGCTCATATCAGTCTGCGACAGGACAGCAAGTGACAGGAATAACGGCTAGTGGGAACTTCCGAAGTTGGAAGTATCACCCCTGCCAGTCATGGTCATGGAAGGACACAGGGTTCGATCAGAGAAGACAGTACTATCATGACTATTCTACAGGAGGTCTTACGATGAAGGCACGAGACCACCTCTCAGCAGGTTGCAGAGACACGCAGGTTCTGTCAAGGCCAAGGGAGCAACTGTGTCAACTCGACAGGAAGCGTTGGATGAGAATCGAAGACCTCATCATGTCAAGCCTATGACTCTTTCTCAGGGAGCCTCTACTAAGGCTATGGGACTAGGACCGGACTCGGACCGGTCGAAGGACCATACCGCGGATACGAAGCGTAGGGTACCGGTCAGTAGTGATAGTTCCTAGGATCACCAGGCTTCCCCTATTTGAGGGAAGTTCGAGGGAGAGGAAGAGGGGCCGCTCGCATTTGCAGGAAAGGAAAGGAGAATGAGGTGAAGGGTCTCTGTGAGACTGGGTTGCTTGAAGTAAACAAGCTTGTATACCTGTACCAATCTCTTATCACCTCTAAGTTACTTCTCTGAATCCTGATATTATTCCTGCGACTGCGCGGCCCGGCCATCGGTGATCGCAAGTATCACGAGTCATCACTATGGATACGTCATCACTGTCTACTTCGTGTGAGGAGAGAGTTCCACTGGAAATCTCGACCCATATTATAAATTCGTGACTCGCCGCCTTCACTCAAAGTTAAGTGAAAGATCAGTACGAGGACCATCAGGAGAGTAGAGGAGGCTTGACCCTGGGCTCGCCTCACTCGGTATTCCAGAGAGGCCCATAACCTTCCCAGTGCGTGGACTCATAAGGCCCTTGCTGGTCCTACCCCTTCCCTGTTCCACCTCCGACGTCCTCCTCCTCTCCTGCGCTCCTCCTCTCTTCATCTTGCATTCTTTCTCGAAGCATCATCCATCTACAGCTTCACCTCCTCCGTCCCGTTCTACAGCTTGCCCTGATATGACTCGATCTTCCCTATCTCCCCTGCTCTTCAGTGCGCTGCTGATCTATGAATGCCATGGGTGGTCGCTGCCGCCTCCTTCCCTACGCACGTTCGCTTCTGCTAAGGCCGGAATGACCGTGACCTCGAGTCGTCGACCAAGGCGGTATGCGTGCAGCATGGCAGGTGAGGAGAGCTGTCGAGCTTTGTCTCATATGAAATCAAGTTTGTTCGCTAGTTTGCTCTACATGTCGTCTCCTTTCATCTTTGTCTTCGAACTGTTGGCCACCTCATGCTGAACGCTTCCATTTGTCAGTCGGCGTGCCGGGCAATGGCGAGGGTCAGGTGTCGGACTTCATCGTGCCTGCTGGATGTGACAAGGTGCGAGTTGGCAAACCGCTGGGGATCCTGCTGGAGGAGGTCGAGGACGGCAAGGGAGCGGTGGTGGTGAGCGTGAAGGAGGGGTCGAACGCCGACAAGTCGGGCGTGCGTGTTGGGGATGAGCTAGTGGCGTGCTCGGCAACGACTCTCAAGGCAGGGAAGGATGGGGCGTACGAGAGGACAGGGTACGGGGGTAGGCCGTTTGACAACTGGGACGTCATAATGTTCCCTTGTGGCGACCAGCCGTTCGAGGCGATCATGGCGGCGATAGCGTCCAACAACGAGAGGTGGGGCATCAACTCAGTGACGCTGGTGCTGAGGAGGAGAGAGGGAGAGGAAGGGCGGTAGGGGTTCAGATGGCACGAAGTTATTTTCGTGATGTTCATGTGAATGGAATAATGTCGCAAGAGTGGCCGAGATGACGAGCGGTGAAGGGAAAGGAGGCAAATTCACAGAGCAGGACTGACTTCTCTCCTCCTCGCTGGCTCTACCGTGAGAAAGCGGCGGCCGGCGAGCTCAGGAGGGAGGTATTCCTGATCGCATCCTTCCGGATAGTCGTGATTGTACTTGTATCCTTTGCCCCATCCCAGATCCGCAAGCACCTGCACAAGTTTCAGATGAGGAAAGGGTGACAGAGGCAAGGAGAGGAATGTGCGAGTGAGGTAAGGGGTCGTGGTAGGAGGACAGGGTAGGCTGGAGCTGCTGAAACACGATCGTAGGTTCTAGCATAGAGCACCAAGGGAAGGAGGAGAGAAGTGGGAAGGAGACAACATCACCTTGCTCGTAGCGTTCCGCAAGTGGAGGGGAACAGGATAGTTGGGCTCTTCACGCACACAGGCAGCTGCAGCCTTGTAGGCGGAGTAGAGGGCGTTGCACTTGGGGCAGCAAGCGAGGTAGACGGCGCACTGTCTCCAGGTCAACGGCAGCAAGTCTGGTCGTCAGAGCAGACCTGGCACAGAGCTAGGTTGCACTCCGGCATGCCGATAGCCTTGACCGCTTCCAGCGTCGCCGTTGCCTGGCCAAGGACTGTGAGACCCGGGCCCCGGCGGTCTCCATTGAGCCTCCGTGAAACCTGAACGAGGGCAGAGGTGTCGGCCAACCCGATGTCTTCGCTAGCAATACGGATCATCCGACGAGCGACGTACTGGAACGAGTCTCAACTTGTGCTCGGTCGAAGCACAAGGGCTCAGACCTCAGGGTTTTCTCCTCCTTCCAGCATTCGCGCGAGCCAGTAGATCTTTCAGAAACGGCGTCATCCTCCTCGCCTCCCCTTCCCTCCCTCCTTCCTCTGTCCACCCACAAGACCCACGTCTTCACACTCCCTCTCTGCCTCTGCCTCTCTCTTCTCCTCCTCTCCTCTCCTCTCCTCTCCTCTCCTCTCCTCTCCTCTCCTCTCCTCTCCTCTCCTCTCCTCTCCTCTCCTCTCCTCTCCTCTCCTCTCCTCTCCTCTCCTCTCCTCTCCTCTCCTCTCCTCTCCTCTCCTCTCCTCTTGCTCCTCTTGCTCCTCTCCTCTCCTCTCCTCTCCTCTCCTCTCCTCTTGCTCCTCTCCTCTCCTCTCCTCTCCTCCGCGGTGCCAGTACCGTAGCTTGCGGGTCACTCCCTCGGATGCTTTTGTGGAATGCGGAGATGCAGTTGTAGTGCTCGTCGCCGTGCGCGTCGTAAGCGACCGTCATCTGGTCGAGCGTTGCCTTGCGGACGTCGTCGAGCTGAAAGGAGTGAGGGAGGAGAGCAGCTAACAAGTAAAAGTACGGTGATAAGAAGGGCATCTGACACTGACGTGATGAGTCAGCGAGGCTGAGGAGCTAGGAATCGACTCACTCGACAAGGGGCGAGGAGGTTTGTTCGAGGTGGACGGAGGGGTGTCAAACGTCTGCGAGCATTCATGCACGGAGTCTGCCAGCTTGGACGGGGCGAATCTGTCATCACGCCCTCCTCGTCCACTTCAGCCCCTGCTCCTGCTGCCCCTCCTGCTCCTCCTCGCGCTCTTCCAGCGTCTCTCCCTCCTCTTTCTTCGCTGCTCCTGCTCCTCTCCATGGCGTGTGACATGGAGACTTCGACGAAGTTCAAGGCTGCAGGAGCATCGGGGTTAGTGGAGAAGACGTCATTTCATCTTGACCTGATCGAGCATCTCCGTCTGCTAACTTGACCACAACATCAAGAGCCTGAGGCTGACGGGAAAGAGAGTGAGAAGCTCGCATGTCCATCACCACAAGAACAAGCACAAACTTCCATCGAGACGGTCGCAGGCTTCTGCAGGCCCTCTGTTTCATGGCAAAGTCACCAGTGCAGCTTGTCAGGCATCGATCGCTACCTTGACCTCCACGGAGTTTATCAAGTCCCGGCATCAGCCCGTTCTCCCGATCATTCAGTGCTTCGGAGATGGTGAGGACAAGGCAGGATGGTCAGAGTTTGGTTCCGAACCTCTCAGGATGATATCCTTCACTTCCTCCTCGTCTAACTTCTTCAAATTGTACACTTGACACCTGCGCCGCAAGAGTTTCAGGCAGGAGCAACTGAGAGGAGAGTTATCACAACCTGGACAGCAAGGCTCTGTTCAACGAGAAGCTCGGGTTCTCCGTCGTGGCGCCGATCAGTGTGATCAACCCCGACTCGACATGCGGAAGAAAGGCGTCCTGTTCAATGCCACGTCACGGCATCACGGGCCCTCTCCCCTCCCTCGTGCCTGTTGAATCTTGTTGAAGCGATGTATTTCATCCAGGAACAAGATCGTCTTGCGGCCGTGCAGCGACAAGTTGGACTGAGCCTCTCGAACTATCCTCTTCACATCCGCCAGCCCAGAGTTGACCGCAGACAGGAAGACGGAGGTGAATCCTTCGGCTCTGCTCACGATCTTACCTAGAGTGCTCTTGCCACATCCTGGAGGGCCCCAAAGGATTATGGAAGGGATGCTTCCAGTGAGAAGAAACTTTCTGATTGCATTGGCGACATCCCGCTGTCCAACGATCCTCTCCACACTCTCCGGTCTCATCCTCTCTGCCAATGGTCTTCGTTCGAAGTCAGCCGGCCTCCTCCTTTTCGGAACCTGGTCCTCACGATCCTCCTGCTCCTGCTCCTCAGGCAGCACATGCACTTCCACGTCCCCCGCCTTCACGTCGCTCATCACGTTCACCTCCTCCTCCGGCTCCCTCTCCCTCTTGATCACAGCGCTCCGAGAGAGTTCGCGCGACATGGTCGGGAACGACACCATCGACGAGCTCTTGACCAGCCTTGAGCTGCTCTTCCCCATCCGACCGGGCTTTTCTTTAACAGGAGCCCTTCCCCTCTGACTGGGTTGAGACAGCAAGGATGGCTTTTGCGAGGCTGTGAAGATCGGAGCCAGGGACTTCGTACAGGAGGAGGAGGGAGGAGGAGCGTCTTCGTTCTCCTTGACGACTGTAACGCTGGGCCTCGCTACAGCTCCAGAGACCAGCTTCTCGATTGCAAGCGCGACGTTCCCGCTTACCTGGGGAGCGTGAGAGGTCAAACAACAAGATGAGATTCGCCAGACCTGTCGGAGAGCATCCTTGATGATCCCTTCGTCAGTGAACCCCATCTCTTTGATCATATGGATCTTCCCCTCGCTAAAAATCTCCATCGCTCCTCTGATTCTTGTCAGGTACCACGAGGGTTTCACGACTTTGTTTCTGATACAACGGTCCTCATTTCCTGCCTCCAAAAAGTTACTGCGAACATGGCTGGCAAAGGCTTCAACAATCAGTTTCAACAACCGTTCTGCGATGAGTGGCAAGGAAATTTTTGAAACTAGGGAGAGGAACCGGCAGAATATCTCGGAAAATAAGGAAACTTTCACAGCAGCACAACAAAATCAAGATCCCATTATGCAATAAATGGATGTGAGTGCCTCTGCACCGCCACTCCTTCTTCACTCGGTAACTGTATAGGACCATTCTGCTGCTCCCAAGTATCGAAGCCAATGGGACTCTAAGGTGAACGGAAGATCCGAATCAACTCTGCACGCGATGCGAACCTCACTATCCCTCTTAGCCATCCAACCTTGCTCCCTCCCTCGCTTTCATCTTTCCCCTTCATCGCATTCCTTCCTCCATTTTCTTCCTCCTTCCCTCTTCCTCCCCGTCCTCTACTTCCTTTCTATCTTCCCTCCGCTCCTCCCAGGGCAGGAGAGGAGGAGGAGGAGGAGGAGGAGCGGCAGGAGCCTCAGCTGCATAGGTACAGGATGCGGCCGGTAATTGTTTTTATTTGTCTCCACAGGGGAAATCAAAGAGAGGAGGAGAGGATGGAGCAGCGTGAGAAGCGGACGGGGAGAGGAACTGAGGAGAGAAACCGGAGCGGTAGGTGAAGGGGAACAGAGTAGGAGGTGGGGAGAGGGAAAGAATCCGAAGCGGGAAGGGGGGAGACTGGAGCTGGAGCCAGGATGCGACTCAAGCTGCTGCTGTGCATGGTTGTTGTGAATTTTGCTGTTCCGTCCGGCATCTTGTTGGATCGAGTCCAGGGAGTGTCGAAACTTTCTCTCTGTCTTCGAGGAGGACTCGATTTCTACCCTTCCTCCTCATGGGAGGATGAATACAAGCACCTGCATCCCGACCGGTTGATCTTTGACCGTGAG